CCTCCCTCCCTCCCTCCCCCTCTCCCTCTCCCTCATATACGCTCACCCGTCATATACGGCTTCCTTGTCGCCCCCCTCTGCTCGGTCCGGTCCGCTCGCCTGGCTCCGAACGCTCCTGCGACGCGACATCCTCGTCCTCCGTAAAATCCTTCTCTTCATTCTGTGATTGCTCTAGTAATTCGTCCGCCTCCGCTATCCACTCACCCGTTGGATTCACCGATGTAACTCGCGCGACCATCTCCGCTTTCGCGCCCGTGGTCAGCAATTGATGGTTTTTTAAAATTGTCTTTAGCTGCACAATTGTCAGTTTGCTTGCCTTTTCCATTTCCGTTCCAATCTTTGCACTCCGTCACCTCTTCACTTCCTTGTTGAGCACTTGCGACAAGGAAATCCGATCAATTCTCTGTCCAGTACACTCGCTTTCAAATCGTTCTCGTTTTATTTAACGTAAATTCATAAATAGAAATAAATTCATAAGTCTCATATAAGTTCGTAAATGCATAAATTCATACATAAATCATAAGCTATAATCACTTTATGGCCAGTCGTGAATCGTCAATCCCACTTCTGAACTGTTAGCTATTTCGAGGGCCGAGGAGAACAAAGAACTCATTACTTTAATATCTTATAAAAGCTACCTTTTATTTTGTCAAACAGCGGCAACGGTTTGGAACAGACTATCGAATCGCGAGTCATTTCTCGGTCGCACCGTCGTCTAATATACATATTTATTTTTCCGATCTTTCCCGATCTCGCTATATGTCCTTACTTGGCTTATACACATAAAGAGATGTTTATCCTTACATATGTTATTAGTGTTTCTATAATGAACGCTCTTCTCTCTGGTTGGCCTTCGCCACGAACGGACGTGTTCTCTCTAACCCGCCTTATTTTATCACGAATGCCGCCGCAGTGACCTCTAGCCTCTGGCGGCGATGTGGAGGCGGTGCGCCCGCATTTACAAACGCATAGTTCGCGAGTGCGGCAGCTTTAACCGCCGATTTCGCCGAACAGTTCCGACCGTCACCGAGAGCCACCGATCGGGAATCTTCTCTAACGAGAAGCTCATCATCGGAGAATACCGAGGTCGGCCGAGACAATACGAGCAAGACTGGCGGACTAGTATAAAATACCTCGTCTCCAACATAAGATCGCCTTTTTTCCAGCTACCGATTCCAGCTATCGATCCGAACCTACTTCGCAGTCATGAGCTCCTAGTACACGATCTTTGCGCACGACTTCCGACGAATCTATGGGGTAGAACGTTCTCGGCCACCGAACAGCCGTCCGCTCCGATTGTAACGACAAACCTACGAGGTAGGACGTTCTCGGCCCCCGTCGAGCGTTCTCGGCCGCTGATTATTGGATCCGCCTCCTGTGACGTATCTCACTGAAAACCTACGAAACGCGAAATAACGAAAGCTGGCATGGTATATCCGCGTCTTATCGCGCTACCGTCCGCTACCCCGCACGGCCCGGACCGTCCGATTGCCGCGAATCACCACGCGACCGCGAACGGCCACAGCCCCGCGTAGTTACTATGTGAAGTATACACACACACATAAGCGCACACATACACACACGTAAACACCCAACATCGCCTGACATACCAAACGCCGTCGCAAGCTGGCCCGATAGCTACCGACTTCTGCGTTTTATATTTGAGCATTTAGTGCGTACTCAATCTCTCGTTTTATCTACGTCTTTGTAATTTATTGTACATAGCTATATTATTTCTTTTTTTTTGTAATATTATGTCAAAATATTTCTTTTGTGTCGCGTCGTCTTGGCACAGTTTAATAAACACCTGTGCTTGTTTTAAAGAACACACTTGCTTCTATTAGTCTCGCGCACCGACCACCGTGAATACTCCTCCTGCCAGAACCTCTATAAGCAACTCGTATTCCGATGAGCTAAGCCGCGCTTGAAGTTAGATCGTTACTACCGACATCAACTTCGAAGCGCTTAAAAAACGAAATTCGATGAATCTGGAGGTCTTTGCCATGTGAATATGCGATTTCTTTAGTGATCTATTATAGACACAGTTGGTGACTGGACTCCTTATTAATATAATTGTATTTTAGTTGTATTCAATAGAATTATATATGGCCAAATTACAATTATATTAATAAGGAGTCCAGTCACCAGCTGTGTCTATAATAGATCACTAAAGAAATCGCATATTCACATGGCAAAGACCTCCAGATTCATCGAATTTCGTTTTTTAAGCGCTTCGAAGTTGATGTCGGTCTTCCACGAAGCTTCCTCTTGATGAGTAACCACACATTTTCAATGGGATTCGCAACGGGTGATTGTAAAGGTCAATGGAGTGTCTCGATGTCATTTCCCTCTTTCCAGGACGTGCAAAGCCGGCTTCGATGTTTGGGGTCATTATCCTTCTAGAGTAACCAATCTTTATCTTTACTAATATACCAGTGTTGGTCAGACGGAATCAAAGCTTTTTGGTATATTTTTAACATTTTCTCAGTATTCAGGTTGTCGGTAAAGAGATAAAACCTGCTTCGAAACGAGACGCGTAGGCAGCACTTTTTGAAAATCGTTTATTCTAACACAATTCAAGCAACAACGGGTATTTTACTTATAATGCATGCAGTACAAAGATTTCACCTATCGGCGAAAATAAAAATTCAGAGTATATCCTTACTCGATTGTGGATAAGCCTTGCTACGCTCTTACTAGACAGACTTTAGTGGAAAGTATGCCTTGGAGGTACAAATCTATTATAGACGCAGTTGGTAACTGGACTCCTTATTAATATAATTGCATTTTGACCATAATCCTACTAAATACAATCGATATAAACCATTTTTTTTTAGATGGGCTTGCCACGCTCTTACTAGACAGACTGTAATTAAAGAATAAGAATTTGAAGCAATTCATGAAGTACGTCTAGCTGTTAAAAACTCACCAAATTGTTCATAAAAATACTAATTGGACCGTCAAACGATCGACATCTCGCAAATGCAATCGGAATCAAGAGAGGCGGTCACATAATTGCACAAGTGTCAAACACAATTGGAAAATTTGTGTACTTTTGTAAAAAAAAAAATCAGCTGGTTAAAGTCTTTATGTTGAGTAAGGTACATTATATTTAGATGCAAATTTAAACGATTAAAAAAATATGTTAAAGTAACACAATTTGCACATATTTAGTAATGACTGGTTTATGCTTCGGTCTTAAGGTCTTAATCCTAACATTCAGCCAATAGAGTTCAAATTTCGGTTAGAACTGGCAGCTTTATTGGTTGAATTTTAGGATCTTAAGATTAAGACCTGAAGCATAAACCAGGCATAAATATGTTAAAATTTACAGAATAAGGGTGTTGATTATACTTTTGTGGCAACTCGCCACCAGAGGTCCAATTCGCGCCAATTCTCGCAAGTATTCGAGACGCGCGAAATCCCTTCATATAGAACTTCGATCTTAAAGACTCCCCTAGGCGTCTAAGGTAGGCTCCCATCCATCGACATCTAAAATGGACCGCTGATGGTAGTAGTGGGGGTAGAAAGACGAGTAGAGTGAGAGGTTGTTAACAACAACCAATAGTAATCAATAATTATCAGTGTTGTTAGGCGAATCATCTTTTTAGAAAATATTTGTTATATGTTCATTTTGTCATAATAATTATGTTGATTGTACACATAACTCTTTTTAAGTTTTATTAAAGATTACATTTCATTTTTGTTGAAATATAAACATAGTACTCGTGTTATCATTCAACATATTCATATTATGTTAAATTAATACAAAAATTTGACTGGACTGTTTGGAACATGCGATTTATGTTAAATTTAACATATTTTTTCCATTTGTAAAAATTAAAATAAAAAAATATAAGAATTTCAATTGTTGTAGTGAGACTAGACACGTTTAACTTTCACGGTTGTCAAAATAATATTAAAATGAGAAATTTGGTGATGCAAAGTCGAAGCTTGTTTATGATTGGAATATATGCTTCGTGTAATCCTTCTATGTCTGTTTGAAAGTTAAAACCGTTTTTTTGCTTTTTAATATTAAGCATTTCTGATATAATACGTTTTCTGTAACAAGGTTCTTCGTCTAGAATGTGAATGTTACACCAATCAAAATCATGTCTCTGTTGCAATCTATGATCATTTATTACCGATTTAGAAGAGGTGTTTCAACCACGGAGTATTAGGAAAGAGTATCAACCTTAGAACATATAGTACTGGAAGGAGCATAGTCTCTCGAAAGTGAAGGCGAGTAGATTGA